TCAGGTGCATGCCGGCATAGATATGGGTTCCATTGTTGCTGATGCGGAGAAGAAAATGCTGATAGAATGCGGCAAATTCAGGTTTTGTTTTGGAAGACTTTATGCAATAAAAATGTCATCTGAAAAGTGTTCAAATTGAACCAACTGCAGTGCGCACCAGGCTTGCCGATTCAGTCATGTGTTTTTGCACAATTTCGTGTTGTAGTGAGAACGCTTGGATTCGCAAACGTCGTCGTATCCTCGGCAAATTTCAACTTCCTAGCCCAACTAACTCTTAAATCGCCTTCCTGTCAAAAATAACTTGATATATTCGTACGCGAACAATGGGCATGCACCAGTAATCGTTCCTCATCTACGGCCTCGCACAAAAACAGCAAATATTCTTTTAGAACCAAAGGAACCTTTACCCAGCCTAGTTCCCGAATTGGCAGTTTGCGTGCTGTCATGGAGTCGTAATGTTGGCGTATCCGTTCACGTGCCGTGCAGTTGCATTCAAGCTGAATTTAAAATCTTTAACTCGCAAGACTTGCCAGCTTTCGCTGCTGCTACCATGTGCTAGCACCCAAGCTACTATCGAGTACCACCGCGTCTTGCAGCAATTGAACTAGACAGCGAGAATTTTGATAAGCTCACTGAACATTCCAGCAGTGAAATAATTTCTTTTACATCTAACTTTCAGAAATTGCGATGACTGCGTAACATCGGAACATTGTGGCTACTGTTCCTCCACGTCATTAAATATGAGGCAGTGCTTGCCAGTCCATCCGGATAATTTCCAGTATTCACTTTACGGATATTGCAAGGTTTTCCGTAGTTTTTGAAGGGTAAAGTCTGACTGCTAGATTACGTGCCAGCATACCTGTGCGCTATTTTCCATCCTAAAAGTTGTTATAAAATTGACTTTACAGGAGGGGGCTGAAAATGCCACGGATTACATATTTGCGGATAATTACTGCGAGACGAGATTCACAGCACTACCGATTGCTATCATGGTGTTATTCGTATTTGCTTATTCGTTTGGTTAGTTTCTCAACTTCTCCTTTCACAATTTCATCAAGAAAAGAGCTTCTCCAGAAGAGCACGACCGTCAGTTTATACCTGATGCGACTAGTGTTCGATTCCCTCCTGGTCCATAACAATTTTCGGCAGAAAGTGAGCTTCTCCAGTAAAGCATGCTTAGATGCTTCGAAATCAGACTATATTCAATTAATGCAGGCACTCTGAACGCACTCTTCAACAAAACTATTGGGATTTTAATTTTAATTTTAGTTGGTATATGTTTATGAAAGATGTACGGATTCTAATAAAAAATTGCTTTCTTACCGATAGCCATCAACTTTTAATCACAGATAGGCAGGCTCTGTGTAGGACGTTACAACATTTTGCAGGTATGGGCCCGATCCCATGGGTATTCAATGCCGAAGTATATCCGATTTGGGCGAGAAGTACATGCGTCGCGCTCTCTACTTTCACCAACTGGATGTTCAGTCTGCTGATGTCGCTGACATTTCTTAGCTTAAGTCAAACTATCACCAAATATGGTATATTCATTCAGCATTTCTAAACATTACTTCGTTATTCCTTCAAGGCTGAACTTTTAAAAAACTTTTGAATAAAATCAAACCCCTCTCCGCACTCCGACTTTTATAAAAGGGATCTTGGAAGCGGTTCTGCTCACAATGTGCGCCCTAGCAAGGATCGTTATCGTCACTTTTTTTCAGAAATCATATAACTAAACTGAAAAACAGTTTGGCTCAAGGGCTCATGATACGCTAGTTCCAGTCACTACAATAAAATCGTAGAGAGATTAGTTGTTTTCAGCCACTACGCCGAATAATTAGAAAGCTGTGGAAATCATAAGTTTCTTTACAATACTTAAAGTTTGTGCTGCAATGAATAACTGGAGGTAGGTTGCACCGATTTGTCTCAAGAAAACAGAAATCCATAGGCGCATCGCTCTGAATCTCGAATTTCGATGCCGACGACCCACCAAAGACCCATGAAGTGAAAAGAGGATTTCTAGACCGCAAACAGCGGCCCATCAGAGAAAAATAGTGAAATGCAATGTCGGAGTGCATTTGGTTGTAAAAACTTAACAAAGCTATAGG